ACCTGGCACAGCGCTGGGTGTATGATAATGCTCAGTAAATACCTGTTGGTTGATTGGCTCGGGTGCCACCCTGCCCAAGTCCCTGGGATGTGTGCAATGCTTATGGGGAGAAAAAAAAGGAAGTGGGATGGTTTCAGATCCTCCTGGAAAGAAGTGGGATGGCATCCTGCCTCTCCCCTCTCAGGTAAAGGACCGGCTGTGGGAGCAGCGGCAGGTGGGGCTCGGGGAGTTGGGGGACATACAGGCCTCCTCTAGCTTGGCGATGTGTAGCAGGGCCCGGTTCTTGGTGCTGCTGAGGGTCTTCTCCAATCGCTGCAGGCACATAGCCAGCTGCTTCTCCCCGGCAGCGGGAGAGCCGGCCTCCAGCCCCTCCCGGAGCCGTTCCGCAGAGGCTGCCGTGCAGCGCAGCAGCCAGTGGAGGGCACTGAGAAGGGCTCGACAGAGCCCGATGCACTCCTCAGCTTTGCCGTGACAGCTAGGGGAAAGGATGCAAAGTCTGTCTCTGCTCCAGAGGCTGCAATCCGACCCACACCAACGTCCCCCAGAGTCTCTGGCACTCCCTTACTAGAGAAAGGAGCTGGGAAGCCAACAGAGCCCTGGGAAGACACCTAGCCCCTTCCACTTCCACTGGACAAGATCTCAAATGGGCCACTCCAAATGGAGAAGAGGCATTCTGTTCAAAGGGACTAAGCAGAAAAGGGGCTGGGTGGACACAGATGGGCAGATAGGGAGGAGATGTGGGCATCCAGGGCTGGTCTCGGCCTATGTACGAGGATTTCTCCTTTGCACTAAGACAATGCTGGAAGGTGGTGAGCCCCTCACCCCTGCCCTTACCTCAGACGGTCACAAAACATATCCATGATATCCAGCAAAGCCTGGACGCACAGGTCCCGGGAAAAGTCATCAAACTGTGGAGAGAACAGTGGAGATGCCACGGCATGCCCCAGCCAATCTCTGGCTCTCACAAGGCCAATGGCATGTTTAGGACTCCTGCTTCTCTTTCCTCCTAACTTATTTTTCACACTCGGCACCCTCAGCACTGGAAATTGGCTGCTAAGTGCCAGTCCCCACTTCCCAGGATCACCCCCCACCCATGAAAGGCCAGCAATGCCAGCTGGAAGCATCACATGCGGCCTGTCTAGCTTCGTGGGGCACAGGATGAGGACCGCCAAGGAGGTGGGGCCTTGTCATCAGCCTCCACTAGCTTGAGAGTGGCTGTGGCCATACCTTACTGACAGCCGTGAGGACAGAAGAGTAGGACACCATCTGGAGGGAAGGAAGAAAGACAATATTCAGGCTGATCTCCCACAGTTGAGAGGGACACACGCTGATGCCTGCAGTGGCTGCAGCTGTCTTGAAACCTCAATCCCTTCAAAGAGGCCCTTAAACCCATTAAAAAGCGGCAGTGTTGCCAGGTGCAGTGGCACAATCCTGTAATCCTAGCGCTTTGGGAGGCCGAGGCAAGAGGACTACCTGAGCTAAGGGGTCGAGACCAACCTGGGCAACCCGGCGAGACTTTGTCTCTGTAAAAAGTTAGCCAGGCAGGGTAGCGCACGCCTTTAGTTCCAGCATGGAAGGCTGAAGCAGAAGGATCGCCTGAGCCCAGCAGGGCGAGGCTGTGGTGGCCGTGAGCATGCCATTAAACTCCAGCCTGGGCAACAGTGAACTCCAACTCACAAAAAAAAAAAAGAGGCAGTATCACCTTGCACACCTCGTTTCTGCTTCTTCTCTATCAGCATATGCGCACGGAGATGATTTTGGATACTCAAAGGCACCATGTTTCGTGTTCACATGCTACTCATTGCCCACAGTGACCAAGGGTTAATTGACTGCTGAAAGGTAGAAGAATGGCCAAGAGTGAGTCATATCACTGTATTCCTACAACTTCTGACATGGAGAGTTCATCTGGATAAGACTAGAGACAAACATTTCCTGTGCTGAATAGGTAGTGGCTGCACCTTTTTAACAGGCAGTGAGTTTCATCACAAATTCTACTTGTTCTCTAAAACTTACTCTCTAGGATGCATCCGATAACCTTTCCTAATCAACCCCAAACTCCATCCAGAGCGGAAATCCTTCCTCTGTGCTCCAAGTAAGCCCCTTATACTCATCATTACACATGGTCTTTGGCCCTCACTAAATTAGAAGTTCCTTGAGGACAAGGATGCTTTTACTCAGTGACCACCACAAACTTGATTTTTGTAGAATGAATAAATAAAAACACATCCTTAGATCAGCATTCTCCGAAGTAGCTTCCAAAGCTGTCCTATTGTCCTATCCAATAGGGAAGCCACTGGTTCCATGTGGGTATTTAAAAAATTTTTTTTAAGTCGGATCCTCACTCTGTCACCCAAGTTAGAGTGCAGCGGCATGCTCACAGCCACCATAGCCTCGGCCTGTTGGGCTCAGGCGATCCTCCCACCTCAGTCTTCTAAGTAGCTGGAACTACAGGCGTGCACCACCACACCTGGCTAATTTTTTGATTTATTGTAGAGATACGGTCTGGCTATTTAAATTGAAAGTTAAATAAATTAAAAATGCAGTTCCTAAGTCACACTAGCCACATTTCAAGGGCACCACGGTCACTGTATTGGACAGTGTAGATAAAGAACATTCCTGTCACTATAGAAAGTCCTATTGGAGCCAGGCGCAGTGGCTCACGCCTGTAATCCTGGCACTCTGGGAGGCGGATGCGAGAAGATTGCCTGAGTCCAGGGGTTCAAGATCAGTCTGAGCAACTAGGCGAAATCTCACCTCTATAATAAATCAAAATATTAGCCGGGCGTGGTGGCTCACGCCTATAATCCCAGCAGTTTGGGAGGCAGAGGCAAGAGGATTGCCTGAGCCCAGGGGTTCGAGATTAGCCTGAGCAACTTGACAAGACCTCATCTCTACAATAAATCAAAAAATTAGGTGGCTGTGGTGGTGTGCGCTTCTGGTTCCAGCTACTTGAGAGACTAAGGCAGAAGGATTGCCTGAGCCAAGCAGGTCAAGGCTGCGGTAGCCAGGAGCATGCCACTACACTCCAGCCTGGGTGACAGAGTAAGACTCCGAATCAAAAAAAAAAAAAAAAAAAGAAAGTCCTATTGGACCCTGCTATTCTAGAAGCTCTCAGGACGTTAGGAAATGTTACATACACACACTCAGAACTATGTGACAAAAATTTGAGAAACCCTGGATTAAACCTATATGGAGAACTTTCTTTACTGCGGGACTTCTCAGGACCATGGTATTCTTGTATACAATGAGAATCACTAAGATGAGTGAGAAAAAACAAAGCAATATGCTTCAAACTTATTTGACCAAGGAATATCATTTAGCTAGCATTTCTGTTTTTTTTCTTTAATTGTAGAGAAAAGGTCTTGCCAAGTTGCCTGGGTTGGTCTTGAATCCACAGGCTCAGGAAATCCATTCGCCTCGGCCTCCCAAAGTGCTGGGATTACAGGCTGAGGCACTGAGCCCGGGTGGCTAGCATTTTTAAAATACATTTTGAAGCCGGGCTCGGTGGCTCAGCCTACAATCCCGTGCTTTGGGAGGCTGAGGTGAGTAGATTGCCTGAGCCCGCA